CAACGCGCTCGCCGTGGCGAACGTCATCATCGCTGCGCGCAGCTGGGCCACCGATAGAGCTACGGCGTTCGCTGCACCGGCTGCATTAGGCTCCGATGCCTCAGCGACGTTGACGTCGGGTTGTGCTTGGTTGACGGGTTGTGCTTGGTTGACGGGCTGTGGTACGGGGGCGAAGCGATCCGGGTCGAGGATGTGATAAGGAGGTGACCCCAACGCGTGGTAGGGATGGTGTTCGTCCTCGTCGTCGGGCGGCGCCTGGGCGCGATTAGGGTCAAGTGGCTCCAACCGCCGTCGCACATTTCTCGGGGGGGTTGGCATCTGCGAGACGCTGACATAAGATAAAGAAGCAGAGCTTTCAAGCTCGCTTCTTCATACTAGTACTATTATAGTACTACGTAGTAGGCACGTCGATTGACTGTGAAGCGAAGTCCAATGCAAAATGAGCTATTATTCTCACACAGATATCCTGCTTTAAAACTCGGCGGGTTTGGTGAAATAAAAACCAGATTCGACTCGAAATCTGATTGGAAATGCCCATTTTTGTTTTGCCCAAACGAACAGTACAATGACCACGCAAAGACCTAGTGTGCATGGCGGTACACCCATATCTACTGCACACGATACCGCTCCATATATATATTCATCCAAGCACCTACGAGTCCTTGGTCTTGGTGGCGCTACTAGCCCGAAGGCGCATCATTGGCAGCAAGAGAAGACCGCCAAGCATGGCTAGAAGACCCATGGCGTAGAAGAGGACGTTCCAGCCAAAGTACTCCTTGATGAGGATCGGGAGCATGCCGGACGCAATCGCTCCGAGCGAGCCCATGCCGTTGGCGAGACCTGTGGCCATGGCCGAGGCCGTCGGCGCGTTCGCGCGGTCGCAGACTTCGGCGCACGCGGCGCCTCCGAGCATCGAGTCGGGTCCTGCGACGAAGAGCCCGACAAGCGCCATCGTAAACAAGTTGACGGTTTGTCCGAGCGGTGCAAAATGCGGGTACAGAAGCGTCGTGACGCCGCAGAAAAGACACATGGGCCCGACCACCTTTGCACTGTGGCCGAGAAACACCTTGTCCGAGACGACGCCGCAGAGAATGCTGCCGATCGTGCCCGCGAGGTCAAAGACGGTCGACATGAGCACTGCCTGCGGCGCCGAGTACCCAAGCACGTTGGTCAAGTAGAATGGGAGCCAGCCGAGGTAGGTGTAGCGCACGAGCTTGATGCAAAAGTACGCGGCGCTAATGCGCCAAAGATTCGGCAACTGGAGTACATCGCGGAGGGACGGCGTGGACGTGGACGGCGTGTGCAAGACGCTGTGCAAGCGCTTCTCGGTGGATGCGGGCGCGGGCGAGAGCAGCGTGAGTGTCACGAGGGCAAACGCCACGGAGAGGTAGCTCGGCATCGTAAACACATGGCGCCACGAGAGACCAGGTTGGCTCAATACGTACGCACCAAACGCGCTCGTGGCGAAGCCGCCTACTTGCTGGCACGTAGTCCAGAAGCCCATGACTTGGCCGCGCGTCGACGGCGGAAACCAGGCCCGGAGCACGTCGGCAATGAGTGGAAAAAAGAGCGCTTGGAAGACACCATTGAGGCACCACGCAGCGGCCCGGACGTCCTTCGAGTCGCTCGCGCCAAAGAGGTAGGCGCAGGCACCAGTGCCAACGAACGCCATGGCGAGACCGATGCGGACGCCGACGCGCGACGCGACGAGGCCCGACGCAAACTGCCCGATCGCGTAGGCGATGAGGAAGGCCGTGTCGATGAGCCCGAGCTCGGCCTCCGAATGCGCATGCGTCGCCGTGAGCGTCGACTTGGTCACCGACAGCGGCTTGCGCGTGAAGTAGACCACAATGTACGCAGCATACGTCAGGCCAAAGATGAACCGCGGCCCCATGATGCTGGACGAGTGCAAAAATATGCAATGGATCGCCCAATGGCATCGCACCAAACAGCGTGATACATCCGGTTAACCGCAATGAGCCGGATATCGGCGAACAGGATCTTTACCCGTGGCAGGGTGAGCGACCGCTGGACGTGGACGACACCTCTCGATACGACGACAATGTCGTCAGCCGACGTATCGACCCACGTGACGCCTGTCATCTCGCTTTCGAGGAGCTAGCAGCACCTTACGGCGAGCACATAGCAAGACAAGACATCACGAGCCATGCAGCTATCGATGGTGAGGCTCTCTGCGTCCTTCCAGCACTACGTCTCGCGTGTGCGAGCGTCGTTCGTGCCCTTGGAATAGCCGCAGATAAGGACGCAATTGTATGTGCCAGCGTCTACCTCTGCGCAATGGCCTTGATGCGCTGGTATCGCCCACACGACCTCAATTCTACGCTGAGAACGGCAGCGTGTACCGCCGAGACTAGACTGTGTTGCTGACACGCTTTAGCTGCGCCTGGAAGCTCGTCCATGGTCATGAGGACCGTCTCGACGGCATGGCCCGTGGCGAGAGACCCGGACAGGGCGAGCCGACGACAGAGGCGCCGTCGATACGTAATCTCAAAGCAGCGCAGCAACGATGGCGCGTCGGTGAAAAGTGTGGAGTTGCTAATATAAGTTATACGGCGTCTGCGTCCAGGTGCGTTGGCCCTTGGCGTTGACAACCATCATCCGAGTATGTAAATCCAAGGCGGGACATGGAAGATCTGTAGGCGAGGTATTTAACTAAAGCTCCACCACGAGTACGCGGCGCCGTTCGGCATCACGGCCGAGTACGCGCACCCGGCCGAGACGCTCATCCTTGGCCTTGGCACGTTCCTCGGGCCGCTTCTGCTGACGCGCCACCTCCTCACGCTCTGGGTCTGGATGGTCGTCCGCATCATGCAGTCGATCGATAGCCACTCGGGGTACGACCTTCCGTTCGCGCTCACGTCGTGGCTGCCGTTCTGGGGCGGCCCCGTGCACCACGACTACCACCACGAAAAGTTCGACTGCAACTACGCGTCGTTTTTTACGATCTGGGACTGGGTCTTTGGCACCGACGTCCAGTTCCGCGAAGCGCAGCACATCAAGTACACGACGGGCAAGAGCTCGTGGTCCGATGCGTTCTACAAGCTCGGCCTTGCCTCGTACGTCAAGGACACGGACGCCAAGAAGGCCAAGACGGCATAGATAGCTCGACTTGTGTATCTAAAAACACCATACAACATCCTGTACGCCATGCGACTCAAATCGGACGCATCCCAGGCTGCGATCTAGAGACCTCTTGGCGCCATGCCCCACCGCACACAAGTTCCAGTCAGCCACCGCAGCGGCCTCCAGAGGTCTCATCCACACCTCGAGACGAAGAGATCGCGCATATTAATGTCCCCATTTCCCGGTAGGATCTTTTGGTGGTGAACCAGAAGCGAGTCGAGCTGGTGGGTGGGCAAAACCGATATTGGATCATTTGCACTTGTGGGTGACGTGCCCTTCGGTACAGCTGTAGTTGAGCATACTATAGTGCATGAAGAAGCGGCGATGCGTGCATTGTACGTGAAAATGTCCTTCCATGGGTGACAATGGATTGCGTGTTTTTATCCCGTTGGATTCGGCGCTTTCACACAATTACTGTATTCGGCATATGCCTAGTATGCCGAAAATAAGGCAGATGTGTGCCTTTGGCTGCATCGAGCACGACGAGGATGAGGATTGGAGCATATATACCTACCATGCGTACTAGGATACGAGCAACCTCAGTACCATGGTCTAGCAGTACGACTACCAGAGGAACATGGCGAGAGAAGAAGCGAAGACGTCGGTGTGAGAGCGTTGCAGTCGAGATCCTGAGAAAGCACTTGCCCGAGCGCAAGCACCATGAGCAAGGTTCGATCACGAAGACTTGGAGCGAGCGACGCCGTGCAAGAGAGAACGCCAGCCGCCACAGCAGCAGCGTCGACGAGGATGACGGGTCAAGCGCATACTCTCTTCTATTTGCCTGTCTATCTTGGATGAAAAGCTCGCGGGAAACGACCAACACTCTGTAATTTCAGCCAATCCGCAGACGATCCACCGAATCCGGATCCGGTTTGCTCGCACATTGACATGAGAACAAGCAGCTCACCACAGTCGCCCATTTGCCAGCTCCAGCGCCAGCATGCAAGACGTCGACGCGGGCACCGAGCCGTACGCGGCTGCGCACCGCCTCCTCGTGGGGGG